CACGTTATTCGATTCCGGTGTAGAAACTTGCATTTGATAGGTAAGTTGTTTGTTTTAAATTCGGATATAAAACATCAATTAAATACATAATAGGCTTATTGATTATGCAATTTTAACGACGGTTAGAGTAACTGCCACCTTGTGTACGTTAATAAGTACATTACCTTATAGCCAAACGCGTATTAGTTTGTCCAATATCACTGCTGGTTACTAAGAAATGTCTAATCGAAATCCGCAGTCGAAGAAATGTTTACAGTTTACCGTGTCACTTTCAAATCGCTGCCAGCGAAGCGGGTGTGATACAGATTTATAGTGCACCAGACATTTTCGCACGCATGCTCGGCCGTACGCAATGCTATCATCAGTGATTTCGTAAACACGGACGCTCGTGATAAAGAACTTTTTATCAGGGCTGTCCATGTGCGTCCGTGATTACTGATTAGTACGTGTGTTTTACTCCGTGTTTCCATGTTTAGTCCGTGGCCGTGGTTACACAGCTGACACCTCCATTTCATCTGGCGTCCAAAACATACGGGCCGCACAAATGTTTACGTCATCGGCGACTTATCGCTTGACTCCTGGATGACATTTACGGCACGTAAATGAATATCAACAACCGATTTCAAGTCTTGCTTGTAATGTAACCAGCAGTGATATTGGACAAACTAATACGCGTTTGGCTATAAGGTAATGTACTTATTAACTACACAAGGTGCCAGTTATTCTAGCATTCGTCAACATTGCATAATCAATGTCCATATTATTCCTTTAACTTATAATTTGAATCACGATGAATAGTTTTAACAGTTGTTGGATTGGCCCTGCTTACAAATTCATATGCATTTAGTGTGTATGTGTGTGTGTGTGTGCGTGCGTGCGTGCGTTTGTGTGTGCGTGCGTGCGTGCGTGCGTGCGTACGTGCGCGTGCGTGCGTGCGTGTGTACGATGTGTTGCTGATTACAGAGGACATTGCCAATAAGCGCAAATTAGTGCATCAAACGTCATCTACCAAACAAGGTATTTTTACCCGTAATGTTGAATTCTCTTGATCTCTATCATAAGCCATGATTATGTGACACTACACTAAAAAATATACACGAGTGCTAATTATTTCTGCATGATAGGAATACGGCAAAATAGAAAGCTTGAATAAATATGCCTGTTGTCAGACTACGATATTTGATTGCAATATTTCATCACAATGGAAACTGATGTCCTGTAACAAATGCTACTAGAAAAATATCACATAGGTGGTGTAACCTGCATTCCAGTTAGCTGGGCAAGTTTCCTTCCTCTTACAAGATAATACCGACAAGTTTCCTGTCTATGCATATAGGTGTCCTCACTGTAGTTTTACACTCTCTCCATCTTCCCTATCATCGTCACCGGACGGTAAAACTTTACCAGGATTCATGATGTTATTGGGGTCAAACGCACGCTTCACCATTCTCATGGCAGCGACACCGACTGCTCCCAGCTCATCCTCAAGGAACATACGTTTCCCGAGGCCGATGCCGTGTTCACCTGTGCATGTGCCGCCAACTGACAATGCTCGCCTGTGGAATGCAAATGTCAACTAATTAGAGCCATCATCATTAATAACATATACAGCTGCAACATATCTATGATAAGATCAGGAGTGAATAATAATAGATTATATATTATCTATTATTATTCACTCCTGATGAGATCACCTTTCATAAGCTTATTTCATCTACTAACATCCTGCCAAGCTAAGATTGTTATATTGTAAGATAGCAATACCTGGCAATTGATTTGGCTAGACTAATGACTGTCTGTTTAGCATCTGGTTTGGTCGGCTCAGCCAATAATAGTGCATGAAAGTTTCCATCACCAACATGACCAATCATAGGACCTGCAAAGTAGAGCGTGTTATAATAAATACGTACAGAATTCCAGTACATCGATAAAGTAACCAGTTTAACTTTACAGATAGATTTGGAATCACAAATCATCATAAAAGCTAAAGTTAGTAACGGTCGAATAGTAATCGGCTAGCTGCAGGTCACATCAAACATTGATAAAGACTAATTTTGTGCACTTATAATTATATGTGTTTAATTACTTTATTATTACGCTTTCAGAAACTATCATAGGAATAGCTGCTAATAATTTTATAGGTAAATATGACGGTTTTCATTATACTGCATTACACTTGTATTTGAGGTTATTAGGGAGTTAATAACATAGCAGTACCCGCAAGTATCCACCTAGTAAAGACTATTAATTTATATAGTGTTAATCAACGTTCTATGTCTTAAAAAAACTGAATAGAAATGGTGCGTGTATGTGAGCATTTCAGCTGAACACGTATGTGCAACACGGTGGCCATGATGACAGAGCATTTCTCCATACTCTAGAATTGGGTGATGGAATAACAACTAAGCATATGACAATAGCAATTTTGTCGCCATAATAATGCTTGATATAACATATTATATGCATACATACCTTTACACATGAAAATAAGGATACATATGTTCATGGTGTAAGTGTGCATGCTTGTGTGCAAACGTGCAAGTGTGCGTGCGTGTGTACAAAAAGATGTATTTTTACACTGACCCACCTTTAACACCAGCTGCTTCTATGTCTTTCCTTGACTCCACAATAACCTCTGAAAGTTTAGACAGTGGTACACAAACATCTGTCGAATATGCCTGCAAGCCAAAAAATTTAGAGCATAGTTAGGGAATTACTAATAAAACTCAAATTGTCCTCACAATTATCTTTAATTTTATGTTACTATTGCATTATTCGACTATTGCACAATCCCCAAGCAATAGCAATCTATATTTAAATAGTACTAAACCACGTCAGCCTATAGAAATTCTTTGCTTGCAGTATTTCGTAGATTATTTGGTAAAAGTGTTTACTCGTTGCAATACATTAGTAGTACTAATGTCTGGATGGCATGGAGGAAGTCAATGGATATTAATACTCTACTAGGCCACCTTAAAATAGTTCTTGTTCACAAAACCCTCATCTGAAAATTGCGGATGACAAATTTGATCAGTGCAAACATTGTACAGGTGGTACAGGTGGTACTCACAGTGCATCCGGGAGCCAGGGCCTTGGCTGCATACCACGCCTCATGACGAGCCTGCCATAGCCTCTTCCTTTCCTCCTCATCCTCTGCCCACTGGAAGTCTGTGCCTCCATTCTCACGCACAACATCGCCTGAAGAAAAACCTGACACTTACTAATAGTAGGTCAGGTTATTTTTTTACTAAATATTCATGTTTTTAAAATACTAGGCCTATAAGTACAAGTGTGAGGAGGAAAAAATTGCCAAAATGCCAAAAAGGCCTTATGTTAAGCAGCCGCACGCTTGTTAGTCTCACAGTCTGGTTGGGCTATTAAAATACACAGCGTACAAGCCAAAGTATACGGCTGAATTCACAGTGTGCTAGCTTCTAATGAAATCCTGGGTACAGAGTAAAAATAATAATTCTTCAGAGCTTTAATATAATGCCAGGGTTGTTGGCTAAAGGTACTTTATATTTTCAAGACAAAGCATTGGCATAAACAACCATCCTGAGGTTTCCAATTTCAGCATAAATCATTTAAATAACATATTTCCACTTAAATAAAATAAAATGTTCTATACTCATATATTGATCAGGGTTCAGTGTAAGCTGTGATGGTCTGAAATTATTTGTGTAAACAAGTAAGAAATCGTTTTGAATGTCGATGAAGGTCAATCTCACTATCGTACTATTAACCCATGTACATCCAAAACGATCACCTACAGTCCGTCACCACTGTTTGCAGAGGATAATTACCAACTTCTGTGACTTGCTGATTTATCGTCTTCTCTGAGCCATGAAACTCAAGGAACAGTGTTGGCGCCACTCTATAGTCAAGCTTGCCGTAGCGGTTGCACGCATCCATCTGCACCTCATCCAGAAATTCTAAACATGCAAGAAATAGCACAAAACACACTATCACGTGAGGAAATTTATAGATCTTCCTTAAATAGCAGCAGTCACTGGAACATTGCTGCAAGATGTTACATTACAATGAGTGAATGCCATTCAGAATAGTATTATGAAAATTATTTCACATCAAAGGTTCTAATTATAGCCAATTATGTGAGATATCTTCATGTGGTTGTCTTTATAGATCAATTATGTGAGATATATTGAGTCCCGGTGAAGTGTTATTATGGTACATACCTATCCTGGCAATTGGTATGCCACATTGTAGGATTTGTACTGTTGTTTCTATCGCTGACTTAATGTCAGGAAATGAACAGATAGCCGAGACCATGGACTCCGGGATCCCGTACAGACGTAGTGTGGCCTGCGTGATGACGCCTAGTGTACCCTCCGAGCCAACAAATAAGTTGGTGAGGTTGTAACCAGCAACCGTTTTCCTGTGAGGAACAATGTATCCAGAATAGGAATAACAGCAGTTAATCAAAATACCATATGCAGAACAGACACCACACGCATACATAAAGCCTATAAACCATTCATATCCTACATCTTATGACTTATTGATGAATAATCTACACCACACCCTGTTTGTCCGTTCCTATTCGGATTAACATATTTTGACACAATAATATTTCACTGCTATAAATTGTAGCCTCCTCACATTTTCTGGTTGGTGTATAGGATAAAAACCAAATAAAATTCGTGTTCTGGTCTCGACTATTTGTGACCCGCTCCAGCATAATACGGACTAAGTCGCAAGTCATTGTTTTGAGTAATGAGCACGCACACATGTCAATGCTGAAAATGGCCTACCTGGACAAAAATGAGATTTTTACAAAAATAAGTTCCTAAGTGCATATTTAATCCGGATATATAGGTTCAGATATCTCTAGATTATTATGGTCATTTTTAATTTTTTTGAAACGGCGCCCTTCAGACCGACCCCTGACCGCTTATCCCCGACTGGGCCCCTTACCCGGAACGCTTTATCTCAAAAGCTGCATATTCCGGAATAAGTCGGTTTCCGATCTTCAAATTGCTGTAGATCGGTCAATTCTTTAGATATAGCCAAATATTATATATCATTTTAAAGGTAAGTAAATGATCTATTCAGATATGCACATAACTCAATTTGTAGAATTTCCTACTTAATCCTGGTTTTGCTGGAGCGGGTCACATTTGGCATCACTCAATGATCGGTTGGAATACACTTCCCCTTCACTCAATCTCGTTGATTACAACTGATCATCTCACAATAACAAGAGCCAACTGAGAACCTTCATGAGTTTTACTATTGTATAGCCCAGCACTGGCATTTGGTGCAACCACTGGCCAGTGCACTCAGCTAGTGCACATCAAGCTAGTCAGTTATTTGCAATTTTAGAGAGCAAATGTTGTATTGCTGCAGAAAATGGGAACAGTTATGAGCATTCCTTGCACTTTAATTGGATGTTTACTCTACAATGCCTTCCTCATCTACTAATCCTGTAAAAAATCATTTGCATTCAATCACAACTTTTATAATCTGCATTCTGACACATATATGTACATAGGGACATATATGTACATGGGGGAGAAAGGTGTCTAAACCCACATGTATTGGATATACACAGCGTACAATTTACGCCAATTACAGGCCATTCATTGAGATTTTTGGCATTTGATGGGCACTGGAAAGCGTGTTCAAGATTGCAAACACATTTCATATAACTAACATGAATTGGTGTACTGTTCTTCCTGCAACTCATTTTGGCCGAGTGTATGTCAATTACAGCTACTAACTACAGCTACACTTGAAACAAAAGCATGCCCTATAGGTACAAGCACAAAACAGCCTGTCACTTACTTAGTGGCTCTACCTTTTCCAGATGTATGCAGAATTCTACCATCTGGCAGCACAACCTCCATGTTGGCGACGTTTTCACGCATGGTTCCGTATCTGACAGCGTTTGTTCCCGATGCGCTGGTTGCTGCCATGCCACACAGTGATGCGTCTGCCCCAGGGTCTGCCAAAAAAAACAGGAGTATATAAATAGATAAATTTTATAACGAAATATATGATCTATTCTTGCATTCTTGAATGATATGTAACTGACTTGACTACTTAAATCTAGACATAGAATTACCAACGACCGGAAATGGTATCAACCAAATTAAATATAAAAGTGATAGATCACTAATATATCAAACATTACTTTATGCATCTGCACACTTGAAATTTTATCGATATTATTCATTAAAATCAGAATGAGAGTTTTATGATTCAGAAGCTAGGAACGAACTAAGCACCTATGGGAAACCACATTCCAGTGTCTCGTAAGTACGCATTCAGAGCCATGCGAGTAACTCCAGGTTGCACAGTTGCTGTAAAGTCATCAGGACTCACATCCACTACCTGGTCCATCTTAGTAAGATTTATGCAAATCCCACCCTGAATAATAATTAGACATACATGCATTTATTAATGTCCTGAATTATCTATAATTATAATATAAATGAAGAGAACCATATATGTGCTTACATTTACAACAGCTTGAGGCAGGGATGATAGTAAAAAATGTGTATTGATCGTAAGTAGCCAATTCATACATGGTCGGCAAGGAAACAGGGAACACAAGATATGCACAACTCTCAAAATGTAGCTGATATGGTACCAAGTTACCTCCCATTAATTTGTGCCCACATATCAGTAACGTTGGCAGGTCAGATTCACTACATTAAACAATAACATCCTGTGCGCCCTACGGGTATCAATAACTTAAAAGTATGAATTTGTATTAAAATATATACATGAGGGGTGCACCGTGGAACCCTATTATAATGTGATAATTAGGGTAAAACATTGATTGCATAAAATGCAGGGTTGTGTCATAGTGGGGTAATTAAAAAGTTTAAAATACCTGTTACTGTTAGTCATAGAAAGTTTGAGCAATGCTTTTTATGCTGTTATCACCCTGTTCTGACAAGCTACATGCACGTGATATAAGTAATGTAAAAAAAAAAGAAGAGAAAAAGAAACCAAGTGACAATTGTGTTATATCAAAATTTGCTTAATCGCAAGGCACGTCATAGCGTGGTACCACAATCTATATATATGGCATCAGGGGTTTCAGCAAATTCAATTGCTTACTTTTGCTCGTACAGTGCATATTTTATAGCCTGACCAGGCTCTGAGACTAACCTCAATACACAACCTGACACCGATCCATTTTTTGTTTAATCTTATCTTTCATTATACTTTTATATATAGGCCTAATACCTTCAAAACAACTATAATTAATAAATACCGGTATTACCCTGTATCATTATTTATGAGTTCGTGAAAATTAGGCTAAAATTACAAAGTATGTGAATTAATTATGGTAATTAAACAGTATTTGTGTCACCTGGACAGCAAGAACACCACCCTCCATACCAGTACCGGTTCCAAATGGGATTACTGGTATGGCATTTTCATTGCACAGGCCAACGACTTTCGAAACTAACTCAACGTTGGTTGGCCATACAACAACTTCAGGTGGTTTGGAGCTACAAAAAGCAAACATAAAAAGGAAACACAATTTAATCATGAGTAAATAAAAAAACACTTTTTAAACTAAATAAAGTTTTATTCACCCCTGATATTAATTATGTTAAGAAACATGTGTACACTGATTTAGCCTGTATTATATTTTATAATTAATCCTAAATTTAATAAAGTATACAATACTGCTTTTGATATAAGACCAATAAATTGGAAAATATAAAATAAGCTCACATACACAAAGACAAACATGCAGATTGCACATCAATACTACAAATCCACAACACACAATTTCAAATTGAAACATAGAACTTCTATTATAGTTTCATAAGCTAATAATCATGATAGATAATTTATAGTTAGAATATTGCATAAGCTATGTTCATTTCCTGCAAACTTGTACAAAACTGGGCCAAAGCCACTAATATTATCAAATAAAAATTATGATAGGGTAGACAGCATATGCATACCTGTGAAAGGACTCATCATGACCATGGTGCTCCCTTACAGCAACTGATGTACTCACATTTTCAGCTCCTAATGCAGATGTCAACTCATCAACAATTGCTGCACTTACTTTTCCATATTCACGGCTCACGTACTGCAACAAACCAGAGTGTAATTTTTGACAAATCTCCAATTTAATTAAGAAAATCCACACAAACATGGTTTCTAAAGTAATACCAAATGAATATTACAATTAAACTTGTAAATAAGGGTCACGTGGAAAAACAAGTGTCCTATATAGACAGGTCTGTTCTCTAGAGTTGGTTTAACTATATAAATACCACTCAAGGGAAGCGCCAAACTTGCTCTTTATGTACAGGTGCCTAATCTCAGGGCCGTAGTGGCCTCCCAAAATGTGCCACTGCAGAAAAATGTAGGATCACCCAGTGATAACATCAAGAGTGGCGGTTAGTGTGTGTGCCGCAGGCAGACATGGCTAATGCCGCGATCGCGAAGCCGATGCGGGGGGGGGGGTTCTCCCCCATAAATTTTTGGAAATTTAGAGCCTGGAAATGGCATTTCCTGCATTTTCAGGCTATGTTGAAAGCAACCAATTCTGATCATTTTAAAAAGTTAATTTGTAAATTTCAAAGATGAATGTAGCTGAAGCTGATGTTTTGACTAAAGTATCTAAAATATATATTATGAGTATGATAACTAATAAAACATTGTTTACAAAATTGTATATACTATCAGTACATAATTATGAAAAATAATATAGTTTTTAATATTTCCGTTCCAGTGCATCGTACTTCAGAATACGTTGAAGCCGGGCCGTGAAGGCATGCATGCAATGTGTGTGTGTTGTGTGTGTGTTTGTGTGTGCGTGCGTACGTGCGTGCGTGTGTTGTCTCTCTCTCTCTGTGTGTGTGTGTGTGTGTGTGTGTGTGTGTGTGTGTGTGTGTGTGTGATGTTGTTGTGGGTTGTGTGTGTGTGTGTGTGCGTGCGTTCATCTCTCTCTCCGGGTCATGTTTTTCTCTCCTCTACATAATACAATAATTATTGGTTCAAGTGCTACAGCATAGATTTTAAAGCAAATCACTGTTCCCCCCACAGTTCCAGAGACCCCTCTCTTTTAAACATGTCCAAATCCTAGTTCCGGAGACTACCATTTTCGAACATAACCGGTTCCAGAGCATACCACATTCAACAAACATTAGTTCCAGAGACCCCCATTTTCAGGTCTGAGTTAGTTCCAGAGCCCCCCCCCCCATTTTTGACTTCGCAGTGGCATATACCTACCATAATGTGGGGTGAGTGCCCCATTATTAACGGGGGTGATGGGTAAACTCGCCCTGATGGTCCAATGTGCGCACAATCGGTAGCACAAGCGGGAACACCCCCGTTAATAATACATGCACCATAGCTGCCTTGCGTTTTGCCAACATATCCGGTGACATTACGCGTGCGCACGCCATATGATTTGAAATGTAATTTCAATAAGTGCTGACTTTGAGGAATAAATGCATAAATAGTTACCTGGTGTAAAGTTGTGGAAAGTGTTCAAAAAGATAGGTGAGATGTCCATGTTGATAGATAACTTATAAGTGTTAAAAAGCCCGATCATTTTGCGTTTTGGGGATAAATTTTTGGTTAGACCAGTTGGAGCATTTGGATAGATTACATCTATGGCAGAATGTACTATAGCCCTGCGGCAGCTATCCGCAGGCTATAGTACTACTGCTAGTACTACTACTACTAGTACTAGTACTAGAGCTAAGTAAGTAAGTTGAGTCGAGCACCGACTGCGCAAACGAAACGTTTATAACTACCTTTTTAGCCCCACAAGTTAAAAATGGTCGGTATAACAAAAAATTTAGCTTCTGCGCTACTCGGCGACTATGCATTGTCATATGCACGCACTAGCAACCTAACAGAGTGTTCAAATTTACGTCAAACAACATTTGACTAATGACTACTTTCTGGACGCAGACATCTTTCTTAAACATCACGTGGTTTCTAGAGCTGCGTGCAAAACGGGATTAGCATTAATACCGCAAAAATAAATAACACTATTTGCTATTTATAAATATACTTACTACTATGTATATAATTAACATTAACTTGTTACAATTAAATGATATAATAATTTATTTTTATTTAGCGTAGAAACTAGGATTGTAAAATAATTTAACATCGCTTTATACTCGCAACCGCACGTCTACCTTCTTTCTGATTTTGGTGTGGAAACCGTGGCGAAATGGTAATGTATTCCCGATACGTTATCAATTAACTCCCGAAAACGTAGTCGATCTGATATTATTTTAATTGCGTATTAATTTTAAAAGACTATCCTATGGTTTCAGTGTTTTTTGAGTCAGTACCTTTCATGTATGATCGCAGTGTCGTAGTTATTTTGCACGCGTGGTCCGGCTGGATAGCCATGCAAAAACATTGAAGCAGTGATGATACTGATAGTGATAGGACCACAGGCACTTGAAGCATTTCAACTGTAAACACACGCCGGCGCCATTGCGCGCCCACTGACACATAAATATAGAGCAGGTGTGAAAGCGCGATCCCAAAAATTCGCTCGACGCTCGCTGTATTTCTTACGATTTCAACACAAATACACATCAAACAGTTTCCATCTTTGCTGCTAATTGAAGTACAGTGTTCACTTGTTGTAGAAATATTATGCCTCACTTCAAAACCGAGCTGTGTCACGCGAAATCACACAAAGACTGTCGAAATTCTCGCGTTCGCTAGCACTGCGCGCGTGATTGTAACAAGTTTAAGTACATGGCGGATGGCAGCGCACCGCCATCACGCAAAGATGGAAGCTGTTTGATGTGTATTTGTGTTGAAATCGTAAGAAATACAGCGAGCGTCGAGCGAATTTTTGGGATCGCGCTTTCACACCTGCTCTATATTTATGTGTCAGTGTGCGCGCAATGGCGCCGGCGTGTGTTTACAGTTGAAATGCTTCAAGTGCCTGTGGATAGGACTAGATACAATAATGTAACCAGCGAAAAAAATACACGGGAGCGGCGAGCGATTTCGCTCCCGTCAGCTTTCAAAGCGCTCTGGTAACAACAATTACGAGAGCGAAAATTTTGGAAGCTACGAGAAAAAATCGCTCCCGTGCCGCCGGCAGCGTTACGACCCATTCCTCAACGTAGACAGCTAGGGTATCCAAAACATCTAGAGCTGCATGAACTCCCTCAACGCATGATTCGCCACACGAACAAAAACTCGTGATAGTCTATAAGAAATCAATGTGTTTTTATAACCGCGTAACAATAAGTTTATATATCGCAGGGGTTATTGTGGGAAGTTAGGGCACGACCAGTGACACCTGACACGCACGTAATCAAAGCTGTTTTCTGAATTCGTTACGTAGAAAGTGGACTGTTTTTATTCAGGTAGATATTTAGAAGAAATGTAAACTGTATATATTTGAAGATTCTAGGCACTTGTAACTTTGTGGATGTGCGGCAGCATTGATAGATCTATGCATGGGGGTACCGTGGACTGGGGAAGAGAAAAAC